TAGCATAAGGTTATTTCCTGCTGTTTGCTCATACAGACCTGCAAAGCCCATGCCTTTTTCTCTTTTAGGACATTCTGGTATTCATCTCAGGAAGCTGCTCAGTTACACAACTTCATTGGAGTGTACTGATTTCCCATGAAACTGAAGCTTGGTTAGAGCGGCATATACAGTAGGATAAAGTGGCAGAATGCACTGTGCCACTGCACGGTTGGGGTGGGGGACACAATTTAAAAAGAAAGCACACGGGATAACAGTTCTAGCCCAGGCTTCTCCTTGCTCTGCTAGTTTCTACTTGAAACAAATCTCTTTGTCATTTTTACACAGGGGAGCACACATAAATGCAATCTCCCACCTGCGGCCTGAAGGGTATAGTCACTTCTTCCACTTTGGGACCATCCCCAATTCTGCTGCATGTGCATGCAGACTGAGTCACACTCACCTCTTGACCCTTCTGAAAGGGAAACTGAAATGGATCTTCATATACACTCGTAAGCATAATCAGCTCCATGATTGACTCCATGAAAGGCAGGGCACACAAACTCCCACGCTCCTGCTCCTCTTGAGCTACACAGAGTGAGGATGGGGATACAGTTGGGCCACTGGGCCCTTTGCTGGTTTGGAAGCCCTGGTGCCAACCGTGCTCTTAGTATCTTGGCTGATTGGTGCCATCGCCCTCTGTGGGGTGCTGATTACCCAGGAACACAGAAAACACATCCCTGATCAAGATTCCAGCGACTCACGTACATAGCATGAGGTTCCTTGAATTTCCCAACCTGCTGGATGTGGTACATGAGGTCACCTCCGTTGACATACTCCATAACAAAATAAAGCCGGTCCTTGAAGAAAAAAGACCACAGGGATGTATCCATTACCACAACAAGCTGACAGTACCACCCCATTCCCTCTCCTTCCCCTACTATCCCAGGTAGCAGCTCATGGTGTTTACCGCAGTTTGGAAAGTGGAGTGCAGCTGGGTGAGGAAATGAGGACGTTCCCCCATGGCCAAGACCCGCTTTTCCACCATGGTGCATTCCACATCATCGTCCTGGATGATCACATCTTTCTTCAGGATCTTGATGGCAAACAGCTCTTCTGTCCCACGTCGCTCTGCCAGCATCACCTGTATGGAAGGACCACCAGTGTTTCTTTGATTTCATGGCACTGTTTGTGTTATTATTGGGCACTCAATGAAACTGCTGAGCAGTCGGGTTAGAACGGATAAAAGGAAGTCCTTCTTCTTCACCCAAAGAGTGAATAACACATGGAATTCACTGCCACAGGAGGTGGTGGCAGCTACAAGCATGGACGGCTTCAAAAGGGAATTAGATAAGCATATGGAGCAGAGGTCCATCGGTGGCTATTAGCTGCAAGGTATAGATAGGAACTCTCGGACTGGGGCAAGTGATGCTCTGTATTCTTGGTGGTTGTGGGGGGGGGCAACAGTGGGAGGGCTTCTAGTGTCCTGGCCCCACTGGTGGACCTCCTGATGGCACCTGGTCTTTTTGGCCACTGTGTGACAGAGTGTTGGACTGGATGGCCCAGTGGCCTGATCCAACATTGGCTTCTCTTATGTTCTTATTATCCCACCCTTCCTCCCAAAAGTTTGGTGTGGCATATATACTCCGTCACACCCCTTTATCGCACTCCATGGCCAAGTGGAGATTTGAACCCAAGTCACATATGACAACATCCTCATAGTGGACATGTAGACATGCACCTGGAGTTCTGCACTGAGAACTCAACTCCCAAATGCACAGGAGTGTGATTCTGATTGGGACTATGGCACAGGAGAAAAGGAGCATCCCCCAAACCACAGATGCTGGTTTTGTGATCTGAAATGGCCCCAGGAGTCACTATTTACCCTGTTGGGAAAACTCAGGTGTCACCACCAGTGCAGATAAGTTTCTCCAGTGGGGCAAACAGCAGATCACCCAGGCCATCTCAGGTCAAGAAAATAGCAGTGGGGGGGAGGCTTAAACCCCTTCTCCTGGCATACTGCAGCCCAGGGGTCGTTTCGTAGAAAAAGAGCTAGGGGGAACTCATTAGCATAACTCATTAGCATATGCCACACCCCCTGACTTCACCGGAAGTCTGTCATAAGGCCACACCCCCTGACATCACCGGAAGTGTGTCATGAGGCCACACACCCCGCAGCCCCGCGAAGGCCCTCCCTGGCTCCAGGCAGGCAGGGGTGGGGAGAGGCAGGGAGGAAGCAACTTACCCTCCCTCTTCTCCTGCCTCCTCCTGGATGAATGAGGGCCAGAAGCAGGGCGGCCGGAAGCAGGGTGGCCGGAAGCAGGGGGTGGGGCTTCGTCATGTGCCCCGCCCCCATACCTCACCCGGGGGAACTGCAATCCCCCGCGATCCCCCCCGAAATGACCTCTGCTGCAGCCCAATCCAAATAAGGCTCTTATGCTCCTGGGAAGTCCCAGCATGGAAGTTCAGACACGTCTGACCCAAAGTCCTAATGGCAGTCATGTGCCAACCACGTGTACTTTGTAATGTGTGAACCCCACAACCCAACATAATCTAATAGACAAGATTCCTTTCCTGGGCAATAGTTTTTCAGTGAGTTTTTTTCATTCTGCTTGAACATTCCCACTACAGTGCACTTTTACTTTGTCCCAGATTCATCCACGCTTCAATGAGTTTCGCCACCTTCCGAAGCACCACCCCACCCCACAAAATTGCACACCCTTGCAACAGAGATGATAGCAGGCTGAATGACCCTGTCTCCAAGAAAGGATGAAAGGGATGTCTCCAGCCCCAGAGAGCCTAGCAACCAATCCAGACAGTTAAATGATCCAGCAATGGTCCTGAAGGCACTTGATCCAGCAAGCCAAGCAGGTCTGGTAGTGGAAAGTGCTGTCAAGTCACAGCCAACTCATGGCGACTCTGTAGGGTTTTTAAGGCAAGAGGCTAACAGAGCTGGTTTGCCACTGCCTCTGCACCAGGACCTCCCTGGTGGTCTCCCATCCAAATATTAACTAGGTCAAACTTCTGAGGTCTGATGAGATCAGGCAAGCCTGGGCCTTCCAGGTCAGGGGTCAATGCCTGGACAGGTGACTTCCTAGGAAGCACGGGAATGTGGTATTGAATTTCACGGAAGAAAGGTGGGATTTGTACAACAAATAAAGTAGTTTTTATTCAAATCCTTCAAAAAGCATTTGGGCCAACATGGAAAAATCGCTTTGCAGCTTTTCACAAGATAAATCTGATAAATGGTCACTCCAGCACAGGAGATGGAAGTGAACGTCTAAGAAAGGGATGGGGAGCAGAAAGCTCCACAAAACAGTGAGGCTGTGCTGCAACTGGGGAGAACATAAGAACATAAACATAAGAACATAAGAGACGCCAATGTTGGATCAGGCCAAGGGCCCATTCAGTCCCACACTCTGTGTCACACAGTGGCCAGAAATACCAGGTGCCATCAGGAGGTCCACCAGTGGGGCCAGGACATTAGAAGCCATCCCACTGTTGACCCCCCCCAAGCACCAAGATGACAGAGCATCACTTGCCCCAGAGCCCCTATCTATACCTTGTGGCTAATAGCCACTGATGGATCTCTGCTCCATATGCCTATCTAATTCCCTCTTGAAGCTGTCCATGCTTGTAGCCGCCACCACTTCCTGTGGCAGTGAATTTGAATTGAATTGAATTATTCACACACCATTATTCACACACATGTGCCTTTCTCACACCACATTCTCACGTGTCAGTGAATCCCTCAGCATGCATCTATTAACACCATACATGAATTTTCATCCACTCAACACCCACCCCCCATTCCCCCCACCTTGCCAAAGCTGCCTTTTCCCAACACCATGAGGAAGTTGAAGTCTGAGATGTGGAAACGGTTGATGCCGAAGAATGTGCCACGCTTGGAGTCCGTTGGGCTTGGGGATGGCGATGAGGTGGGGCCGTGGCAAACCTTCTGCAGGGCAAATGGGGTGGGGGAAGAGGAAAAGATACACAGAAACGGACAGTTGAGAGTGGCTCCTACTGGCTCAGAGTAAAAGGTGCGGGAACTGGCACCACGCATTCTGGTGTCCCTACGCCGCAGCAGCACACTGACCTTGATATAGCATGCTCCCGGATGTGCAGCCCCTTACTGATATTATTGGAATGGTGAGGAGCAGAAATCTTCTGACAAGTACATGCAAACCTTAAAACTCTGCACATGTCCCAAAATTCCCAAAGGGGCAGAGGAGTCTGGGAAACTTGTGCATGATGCACACCAATTTTGGCACATGTTTAGATGTATTTCTCAAAGCAGGGGAATGTTGGCAGTTTGTGGGGATCTCAGAGGTCTCAGGGGTTCTCTCTCTCCTCCTCCACTACTTTCCCTCCCCACACCAAGCACCCTCAGCTCACCTTCTTCTGGAGAACTCAGAAAAATGTTTAGGATAGTCAAACTGAAATAATTCTTCATGCAATACGTAATTAGTCAGTGGGATTCATGCAGCAGGTGGCCCATAGATGACTTTTAAAAGACGAGCAAGGAAATTCATGGAAGGCGTGTTGCAACAACGGCAACCAGCCTTGATGGCAAAGGATGGAACCTCCATGTTCAAAGGCAGTGTACTTCTGAATAATAGAGGCTGGGGTTAAAATGACAAGAAGGGGCTGAATCCATTTATGCACTGATTATGAGCTTCCCAGCAACCTACCTCCAGCTCAGGGGCCCTAACACAGCACCTTTTTTTAGCGGCCAACAAGCGTTTTTCAGAAAGTGGGCAGGGCCAGGTAGGGCTTTTGCCCAGCAGGGCTTCTGATTGGCCACTGGAGATCAGATTTGCTGAGGAGATTTAAATACTGCTTTAGCAGCAGCTGCTACCACAGCACAAGGATCTTCACTGCATGACTGAAGGAAAGCTGTGTGTAAGCAAGAAAATATTTTAAACCATATGTTAATTTTAAAAGGCCCAATAATTTTGCCTGAAATGTTGAAGAGCTAATATTACAGTTACTATAACAGTTATGCAGAACTTCACTCCCTGACATTATGTGGTTGGCTCTGCCTCCTGCGGCAGCCATTTCGTGACTGTATCCACCACCCTGTGCTAGAATTCCACAAGTGCCACACAGGCTCAAAACATTTGGGGACCCCTGTGCTTGCTGATCATTATTGGGCCATAACCATACTAGAAATCAGTACCAAGACTGATGGATGTTCTTATTAGCAACATGAGAAAACCTCTGCTTCTTCCTATTCTACCAAGAGACATAATAGAAGAAAGAAACCAAATACCTCATATAGCTCCAGAGGGAAGTTGCAAGCCTGCCAAGACAAAAAGACAACAAACTAAGTAATGTCTGTGCAAATTTTGACACAAGTCTTGGTCAGAAATTCTGTGTGCGTGTGTGCGTGTGTTCAAGTACAACCACCAGACCACCCTCCCTTCAGGTCCTAAGAGAAAGTGGTCCTGAGGTATGCATTCCATCACAGCAGTGCCCCCTAGCTGCGGAGCTGTGTCTGCTCTGTAGTTGGGCTGGACTTGGCACATGGGGGGACGGGGGGTGGCTGGGGAAGCGCCAATCCAAACAGTGTCATGGTGAGCCACGAGGTTACCTCGAATTTCTGCAGCAGCCCACAGTTTTCTGCATCAGCCACGGGGACACTATAATATTCGCCCTCCTCCTGATTGAGCAATTTGTACCTGGGACAGCGACGCAGACAGGGACATCGGGCAGGGGAAGAGAAGGGAGATGGACAAGAGGAGAAAGCGGGCGGGAAGGTGAAGGCAAGAGAGGAAAGCAGAAGGGACAGAGAAAGGAAGAGTGGACAGGAGTAGAAATAAGAGAGATTTGATGGGTTAGACAGTTTTATATGGCAGTGGGTGGAGCAGATGACGATGATGATGATGAAGATAGATAGATAGATAGATAGATAGATAGATAGATAGATAGATAGATAGATAGATAGATAGATAGAGGCAAACAGATGAAAACCCAAAGAGACGCAAAGACGCACGAGAAAAGAGAGAGAAAATGAGCTACCGGTGGTTCCCTAAGCTGCCCCCTTATTCTCTTCCACCTTTTCTTCTGCCCCCCACTCCTGCTTACCAGCCTTCCGCAGGGCCCTTGAAAAGCTCGGAGACACCAAAGGACATGGCTCCCATGAAATCGTTGCGGGTTGTCCGGTCCCAGTCCCACACCTCAATGGAGAGACGCCGCTCCATGTCACCTGGCTGCAGGTTGCTGAGGGGAGCAAGAGAGAATTCCGTTAGAAAGGGGGGAGCGGGAGTCCCTTTGCTAGCTAAGCTCTTTGCTTGTGCAACTGACAGACTTACAAAATGAAAGTTTCATTCCACACAGGATTGAGGGTAGATCGGACAGTCCGGGTCTTCTGCTTTGTTAAATTCTTCGGATCAGGGATCAGCTTGAGTTTCACGTAGGGATCAGAGAGACCATTGGGATCCATCGGGATCAAGTTCAGCGCTTCAAGAACTGACAAAGAAAGGAGAGACACAGATAAGGGCTTTGCACAGAGATGTCACAGGCTATGATCCTTGCATTTGGGGTCCACAGTCTACAATTTTGTTCCTCAGTATTCAGGACTTCTCCTGTGCATTACATATGTCCGAAAGAACCACAGCTGCCAAATTTAAAGAGACAACAAGGGAACAGGGCTGTGTATTTCGCCATAACAATACTTAAAGCATTTAAACAAGCATTATCTATCTATATTTTAACAACACTCAGTATTTTAATAAAGATAGCAAAGTTCAATCTTCAAAAAACAAAATGCGAAGAAGGTCCAATAATAACCTAATGAAGTTTCTGGGTAATGCGTTCGTTTCCAAGGTCTTCATCAGAGAAGGGCCAATTATAACTGCACAATTATTTTCTTTCTAAAGTCTGTCAAGACTAGTCGAGCAAGGTTTGGAAAATCAATACTCCATATTCTTCATAAAGCATGTAAGTATATGAGACATATCTAAGATAGATGTCAGGTAAACTTAACGCTGGCGCTATAAAGGTTTACCTGACATCTACTCTTAGATATGTCTCACATACTTACATGTTTTATGAAGAATATGGAGTATTGATTTTCCAAACCTTGCTCGACCAGTCTTGACAGACTTTAGAAAGAAAATAATTGTGCAGTTATAATTGGTCCTTTTCTGATGAAGACCTTGGAAACGAACGCATTACCCAGAAACTTCATTAGATTATTATTGGACCTTCTCTGCATTTTGTATTTTGAAGACTGAACTTTGATATCTTTATTAAAACATTGTTAAAATATAGACAGATATGCTTGTGTAAATGCTTTAAGTATTGTTATAGCGTAATACACAGCCCTGTTCCCTTGCTGTCTCATTACATATGTCTGCCAGCGAAGAACACACTTTGGCCCCGGTCACACGGGCAGGAAAATGCAGGGAGGAAGCCTGGCTGTTTGCCCCGGAGCAAAATAACGCGCGGCTGCACGATCAGACATCCAGTCGAGGTCCCGATCACAGGACAATCCTGTGGCTCGGCAAAGAAGCGGCCTCTCTGGCAAAAGGCTCCGCGGGTTTAACCCCTTCCAGGGCTGCAGAGGAATGCAAACTGTGTCCTCCGTCTGGTCCCCTCCAGGAGGAGCTTCAGCGGGGCCGCCCTCCCGCCACCCACCCTGCACCTCCCCCTCTGCCGCCTGGTGCAGAGAGTTCCCCTCGAGCAGGCCGAGCCAGGAGTGGGGGGGGTACGGAAAAGAGGAGGGGGCTGTGTTGTTTGTTTTTAAATGGAGTGTGCGCATGCGCCATTGGGTGCTTGTGTGCATCCCATGGAGACTTGGGGGAAAGAAATCTTTTAGCGACGGGACATGGGCGGGAACCGGATGCCACGGCCTACCACCGGAAACGCGATCAGGCGCCCGCCTTTGCCCCGCGGTTTCCGGAAACTAGTACCTCGGAGGTACTAGTTTTTTACCCCGCATCTTCGGCGGGAAGCCTCGGGTTCACCACGGGAGCTCTACGCTTCCCAGATGTGGCGCTGTCATTGCGCCCGGAAAATCCGCCTATCTTCCGTCTCTGTAGCGTGGCTAATGCTCCGTGTGACCGCAGCCTTTGTCCATCTGATAAAGGGGGCTCTACATTACAAAAATGTATACCACAATAAACCTGATAAGGTACTACAAGATTCCTTTCTGTTTCTCCTGTAACAGACTAAAAGGACTATTCCACATAAGCACTGAAGGTTGGAAAGCCAATCTCCTGCACTCAGTATTGGGTCGGAGGGAGGTTCTGTCAAGTTCTATTCCACACCACCTGCTGTTAGTCACGAAAGCTGCTGAGACAACAAATTCCTACCAGCCTCATATGGGGGAGGGGGCATGAAGGAGATAGTAGAGGGGTGGCCGAGGAAATCCCTCTGTGTAAAGACACCACAATGATGGCTCTCTTCTCGCCACCTACATGCTGGCTCCAGGAGGCAGAAAAAGAGAACGAGAAAGAGTGCAGAGGAAGGTGTGAAAAGAAGAGGCGGGGATGTCAAGTTCTACCGCTAGGAATAGAACCCAAGCGTCCTGGCTCCCAGCCTCTGCTAGCTCACTCAGTCCCACTCTCCACCCGGGCACAACCAGGCATCCTGCTCCCAAGTTGGAACTCGGCTCAAGTTCACCAGATTTTGTTCCCTCCTAAAGAGCCCAGGCATTCTGGATCTCAGCCCTAGCATCTGATCTGTTTGCCATAACAAACGAGGAAGGAAGGAAGGAAGGAAGGAAGGAAGGAA